TAGGGGAAGAACTCATAGAAACCTGCTGTAGTCTTGAGGTAGCCGTATCACAGTCGCTCAACACACCCATTTCTTCGTGGAACTGAAAATTACATCAGCACTCTTCAGTCGCAGTAGATGTAAGGTGTATCACATTGTCAGTCATGATTGAATGCATAAAGGATAAAGTCTTTGCCGTTGATCAATCCCTTTTTGGATGCGGCACGCATTCCCCATCCGGAATCGTAGTGCTTTGTGACATGGCCTCTATAACGAACTGCGGGGGTCAGCCCATGTGCATGTCAAAGTTCTTATCCTCCCAAACGAGTGGTATTGATCGGCCTCCCTGAAGGAAGGAAGGCTCGGTTGGTTTGGCCGTGGGCAGTATCCGGTACCCCCTCACCCCCTGCTGCTCACATTGGTGAGTGTGCCACTTGCCACTACAACAACTCCGCCCATTGGAATGCTCAACATGGTGAAGTCTACGTCTCGGCGTTTTAGGGGGTATTCATGGCTTTGACTGAGAAAGAAGCGAGGGCAGACAGTCACCTGTCCAGGCCAAGACTCGTGAGATAGGGGAACATCATAGGAATGTGTAACGGCGTCGTCAGTACGACCCTCCCTTCACAACTAGCTGCCCCCCCCCTCCAAGACTTCGTTCTCGTACCTTGAAATTTCTTCACAAATTCCCAAGGATATAAAGCTTTTCGTGGCGGAGGTGGTGTAGTGACAAGTGGCGCGCTTACCACTCGCGCGGTTCCTGGGTTCGAATCCCAGGTCGACACCCCAGGCCAACCAAGCCTTCTACCCTCCGGGGACGGTGAATTGGTACCAGATTCGTCTGGGAGGATAAAACACTGACTTGTACATCGGCCACCGCAAGTCATTGTATAGGCCACATCGCATTCAATAAGCCACTACGATTCTGAATGGAAGTAGAATGCGTGCCGCATCCCACAAAGGGATTGATTAACGGCGAAGACTTTATCCTTCTTTTATCAAAGGCTTTTCATCTGCCAAATATGACGCCCACTTCCTGAACGTGGATACTGAACTTTCCTGTTGGATTCACACAACGAGTTTAATACACAGTCTTGCTCGCTGCGGATGCTAAAAGATGTCGGAAGGGAGGAGGGAGGGGTTGGCGCGACGCCCGCACATTTTCGATCAAGTGTTTGTCGCTCTGCTCTCCTCAAAGCGGGTCAAGAGTTAGGGCTGGCGTCACGTCAAGACCACGCAGTCTCGGTCACAGCCCCGCATCCCCTCGAATAGAACCATACATCTGGGTGAGGCTCTTCTATGCCTTACGCACCCACTGTCTTCCAGCTGAACCCGGCGACTGCTACTTACTGGCGTTGCACTTACAACTATACCCGGGCCACATCTCCTCTCTTTCAATGCTGCATACAGTCCGTCAAAAAAACCATTTGTCAAAAAATTATTAATGCTATTGCGTTTAATCAGTGTACCATATTCCCCTCGCCCTCGAGAAGCAGGGCACATGCGTTGTTGGCGGAATCGCCAAGTAGGGGGGGGGGGGTAGTATTTTGGGGCTGGAAGAAAATTTATTTTGATATGGTGTATGTGCTCGGTCATGGACGTTGTATAAGGCGGGGTACGTATTTTTACGTTTTTGGTCGGGCGTTGTATTAAATGGGCGTTGACTTTTGTTATTTTCCTTTATGTGTACTCCTATGCCCCCCCCCCCCCTCGCGCCTTCTTCGAGTAAAAAATTTGGTGAAAGTAGGGTAATGTCTCCGGGAATTATTTTGAGAAAAAAAGGCAGAACTTGAAGGAAAATTGAAAACTGTGGGGTCGATTGTCTCGCGGAATTTTCGGCTGGGTTCACGATTGCTGATTCTGACCCCCCCCCGCTCTGACGAGAGCCATGAGGAGGCAGAGGCTGGGGAGGGGGGGGGACACGAGGGCGGGGAAAGAGGGGGGGGGGGGGGAGGGGGACAGAGGCTGGGGAAGGGGGGGGGAAGGGGGTCGTGATCCAACTCCCAAAAAAAGGGGGTTCGTACAGCCTCAACTAAAACCCCAACGAATGTGCCCTGCCCATTGAAGCAGATCGGCGAATTTTTGTGTCAGGTCACCCTTCTGGTGTTCAGGATTTCATCACCTTTTGGTACAGTGACCATACTGCTCCAGGGGTCTCTGACGTCATCTGCCTCCTCGTTCCTCAGTTTCATTGCCGTATTCCCGTTGCCTGGCGGGGGCTGCTCCGGGTGCGTTTGAGGAGTTTTTACCTTATGTGTGCTCTGCAATTGGTGGCCCATGCTTTGTCTATTCTAAGTCAGTTCCCTAAAAGTGAATTCCCGCGAAACCACAATTTTCAGGCCAGGTCACACAGACACAAACAACTTCTGATTTATATATAGAGAGATATTTGAACGTAGTTTGAATACAGTTGTTCGTAGTATGAGTAGCTGACACTGCTAGCCCTTACCAAAGTCTATAACTGAAACTTAGGGTCATCTACTTCAAATACCACGATGCGACAGAACACGGCACTACTGCTGCACCCCGCCTCTGGCGGACATGATTATAATCCATCCTATTCCACAAGACTTCCGAGCTTTCATACCTTTAGGCCCTTGAAGACAAACTGTATACTGGCCTCTGAGAAGGGTCTTGCGATGTGAATGGGAAGCTGCAGCAGCGTGCTGTTTTCTCCACTCAAAAGTGCAGGGGAACGGGGCTGGTGCGTAATGATACCCGAGTATCGTCTGAGACTCCGCCCGCGCTATCCTCAAGATGCAACACTTGCATCTTGAGAATAGCGCGCGCGGAGTACCAGAATCCCGTAGCAGTCAGCGGTAGAGAACAACCAGAAGGGAAAGGCAGACAAGCAGCGCGTTTGGCTAAGGCTAGACGCCTGGCAGGCCGAGCGATAGCGCGGGTATAGTATGGAAACGGTACTCGGTACTAGTATCACTCCAGCTCTGTTCCTCTGCCCGCAACAACGGACCCATTCACCTCAGACATGGCAAGGATAAGCATTGACGGAGATGAATGCTGCAGTTTGTCTTCAAAATATAATTATGGCGCTCTTGTAGTTAAAGGGAGCTCACGCGGCGGCATAGCGGAATCCACTCTCCTAGGCCTAGGAACGGGGCTTCACACCTATCACCTAAGCACTTCTGTTGGTGAGCTTGAGCTTCGGGAGCGAGGAATAGCCCACACTAACCAGGGAAGTCCGCCAACTTACATGGAATGGAGAAAGGTAGATTCGTTAGAGTCTATAAGGTTAATCACAAGTATAGATAGCAAAACTGCAACTTGCATTTCACAAGTAACTTATGAGCAGGTAACGTTTGTAATGGTGCAGTAGGGTGTTGTGGGTGAGCCCCCGAATCGAGTCATTGATGGAGTCAGGTAAGGTCGACGTTCGATGACTCGATCAATCGTATGCGATTCCTGCGCTTATGCTTCCGCTCCAATCTCCATCCTACTGCACCATACAAACTTTGGCTCATAAGTTCATTTGTGAAATGCAGGTTTGCAGTTTTGCTATCTACACTGTAAATAAACGCTTATTGAACTCGTGGTCGATCTACCAAGGGTCCCCATTAAATTCCATGGTAAGCTTGGCGGACCTCCTGATGAGCCCGCATGAGTTCCTGTTGCAGAACAGGCGATTCGAATATATTAGGTTGTCCGGAAAGTTCTCAGCGTTTTGTGCACCTATTTTTTGTACATTCACTGCTGATTAAAAACTCATTCTGCCTTGCTTCTCAGTAGCACATCCTGTAGAGAATTTCTTGCGCTATCTGATGGTATAATTGCCGTTTCACCATTGCTTGATAAACCCCCTTTTTTCAAGATTTTTCAAGCATGTGAAAAGAGCACTTCGGACGATTTTTTTCTTCGACTATAAATTGGGGCAATCCGCAATCGAAACAGCTCAACAAATTAACCAGGTGTGGGGGCCCAATAGTGCTAGAGAAAGCACTGTGCGGCAATGGCTCAACAAATTTTCGTTCTGGAGATTTCAGCCTTGAAGGTGAACCTCATAGCGGTCGACCTAAAGCAATATCTGACGAGGATTTTAGGGGGATTTTGGAGGCTGACCCATCCCAAACAGTTCGAGAGATAGCAGAAGAGCTAGGCCTTGGCAAATCCACTGCTTGGCAAGATGGTTTGAAACGCATGGGGAAGAGTGAAAACTCAGACAATTGGGTGCGCCCAACAATAGGAGTGACCGCAGGATGCAGCGGATCCTCGAGGTTTCCTTCTGCATTGCTTTTGCGCAGCAGAAACGACCTGTTTTTGGGCCGAATTGTCACCTGTGATGAAAAATGGGTCATGTATGATAACAGACGTTCCGGACAGTGGTTGGATTTCGACGAACCACCGAGGTAATTTTCAAAGCCGAACCCTCACGAAAAAAGATTCTGGTCACGGCTTGGTGGTCATCGGCTGGTGTGATCCACTATAACTTTTTATCACCAGGCCAAACCATCACAGCAGAACCCTACTGTGAAGAATCGACGAAATGTACCGAAAATTTTGTCAGATGCAGCCAACACTTATCAAAAGAAGGGTCGATTTCTTTGTCATGAACAAACGCCCACCCACATGTTTCACAAATCACTATCCATAAATTGAACGAATTGGGTTGAAGTTCTACCTCAACCGCCATATTCTTCAGACCTTTCGCCAACCGACTATCACCTTTTCTAACATTTTCAGAACTCCCTTGCTGGAAAATACTTCATCAATCGGGACCAGGCAAAAAAGACCTTCGTAGATTTCGTGGATTCTCGACCACCCAGTTTTTCCTTCTGTTGATGGGATTTCCTTGACTGCTGTCAACATTGGCGAAAAGTGGTGCTGTTTGATGGTGGCCATATTTCGATTTAAATCCGATGAGTAATCAAAAAAATTACGAACATTTGAAGTGAAACCCAATAACCGAGAACTTTCCGCGACAAACCTAAATATTCAAAGTTCCATGGTAAGTTGGCGGACGTCCCTGATAAGCCGCGTGACGTTCCTTGCAGTACAGGCGATCGAATTTACAATAGACACTGAACACATACCTTTGCATACTGTACATAAGCACGATTCAGTCGCTCAATTGGATTCTTCAATCGTGACTTTGGTATCAGTTCAAACTTTACTTTTGGTAGACCATTATCCTAGAATGGTCATGGGCATGAAAAAGATAAACATGGACGGACGCCACAGTGGGAAGTCAAAATACGTTTTCTAATCACATCAACCCTCTTTTTTTCATAAATTCTGACAGTCTTTCGCTCAGTGTGCGGTAAGAATATAATCCGAAAAGTCCACTCTCATAGGCAGATGCGAACCTCTCTGTCCAATGTGATCTTCAGTTCTAGCTCTGTACTGCCAGCCCCATTCACGATGTCCAAGACATTCGTAATTAACTAAAATTATTTCTCTTTCCAGAAGGGACGATGTACAACTACAAAAATACAGTTGGTACCTGATTGACGAAATCCATTTCTACATCACCTTTGCGATGATCGGCCATGTAAGGACCATCGGGTTGCATTCGCTCACAGAACAAAGCGTCCGTTATCGGAAGTGCTTTCGGTGCTTGCTCTAAAGACGTCTTCACTTTGCTAGCGCTCAGTAGCTTCTCCGGCGGTAGCGTACTGGCCTGGAATTTAAAGCGCCATGAGGAAATTACGGGCAAACTGGATATGGAAGCAATATTCCCCCGAGTTATGTAGCAGAGTAGATAGAACGAGCTGGTGGAGAGATTCGGCGCGTAACGACCATGGGAACTACGAGCGATGCTCAGCTATACCAACAATTCGCGGTATTCTACGAGAATTTGCTCGTGCCCATGCTGGGTTATCTCCCTTGAAAACTACAAATCGTTTTGA